GGAGGGAGGGAGGGAGGGAGGGAGGGAGGCAGAGAGAGAGGGAGGGGGGAAGGAAGGAAGGAAGCAAGCAAGCAAGCAACCTACCTTGCTTTGTTTTTAGTACAATGATCCCTCTCTTACCTACAGGGTAAGTAGGTAAGAGAGGGATTCCAAAAACCCAGTGAGTGCCTAAAACCTTGCACAGGATAAGCCCTAGGTATATTGTTTTTTCCTATGCACATACCTATGAAAAAGTTTAATTTATAAATTAGGCATAGTAAGAGATTGACAATAAAAACCAATAATAAAATAGAACATTTATAACCATATGCTGTAATAAAAGTTATGTGAATACACATGTTCTCTCTTTCTCTCTCAAGAATCAAGACAAATATTAATATTTTTGGACCATGGTTGACCACAGGTTAAAAAAAAAACACAAAAAGTGAAAACCAAGGATAAGGGAGACTACCACATCTGTTTTAACAACACTTCAGCACTTTTCCATACTTCATGAACAAGGGGACTGCAATATCCTTTGCACTGAGCTCTACAAGTTCTGTAGCTGGTTCTGCCCTGCTTCCTCCAGTGGTAGACTGCATCCTCTGTATCTGTTCCGCAAGGCCACCTTGGTAACTGTCACCATTTTCTCTGTTCACCCACCCAACAAATACTGACTGCGCTATGCTCAGGCCTTGTGCCAGGTACTACAGATATAAAAAGCAATAGGGTACTCTTGCTCTGAAGTATATGGGGACAGGAACAAATAACCATGGAAAGGTAGAAATATTCACCTTGCATGAATTTAGTGAGGACTATAAATAATACACATAAAATGTATAAACCAGTTTCAACAACAATTGCTAATAAAAATTGCCATCTGACAATTTTTTTGACCCAATTGTTGAAAAATCTGATTCAACTGACAAAAATTGTGATTTTCAAAATTATATTTAGGACTCTTTTCATTAAAATATGGTGTGCTAGTTAAAAATATGTGCTTTGTTTTTTGGGTTTTTTTTTTTTAACAAAAATTGATTTTTATTTTTATTTTTTTTAAATTTTTTATTGTTGGTTGTTCAAAACATTACATAGTTCTTGATATATCATATTTCACACTTTGATTCAAGTGGGTTATGAACTCCCATTTTTACCCCGTATACAGATTGCAGAATCACATCAGTTACACATCCATTGATTTATATGTTGCCATACTAGTGTCTGTTGTATTCTGCTGCCTTTCCTATCCTCTACTATCCCCCCTCCCCTCCCCTCGCCTCCCCTCTTCTCTCTCTACCCCCTCTACTGTCATTCATTTCTCCCCCTTGTATTATTTTTCCCTTTCCCCTCACTTCCTCTTGTATGTAATTTTGTATAACCCTGAGGCTCTCCTTCCATTTCCATGCAATTTCCCTTCTCTCTCCCTTTCCCTCCCACCTCTCATCCCTGTTTAATGTTAATCTTCTTCTCATGCTCTTCGTCCCTACTCTGTTCTTAGTTACTCTCCTTATATCAAAGAAGACATTTGGCATTTGTTTTTTAGGGATTGGCTAGCTTCACTTAGCATAATCTGCTCTAATGCCATCCATTTCCCTGCAAATTCCATGATTTTGTCATTTTTTAATGCAGAGTAATACTCCATTGTGTATAAATGCCACATTTTTTTTATCCATTCGTCTATTGAAGGGCATCTAGGTTGGTTCCACAGTCTTGCTATTGTGAATTGTGCTGCTATGAACATCGATGTAGCAGTGTCCCTGTAGCATGCTCTTTTTAGGTCTTTAGGGAATAGACCGAGAAGGGGAATAGCTGGGTCAAATGGTGGTTCCATTCCCAGTTTTCCAAGAAATGTCCATACTGTTTTCCAAATTGGCTGCACCAATTTGCAGTCCCACCAGCAATGTACAAGTGTACCCTTTTAAAATATGTGCTTTGGAAGCAAGCAGACCTGGATCCATACTGGTTCTGTTGCCCTCTAGTTTCAGAAAGGAACTTCACTGTCACACCATAATTTTCCCATATATGAAATGGGGATGAAGACAGTACCTTAACCACCTCTGTGACATAATTAAAATAGCACCTGACAAGCACTTAAAAATATATTTTCAGAACTATTATTTTTAGTACCATGTCCTCACATTTGGGTTTAAAATGAATTTGAGGGCTGGGTTGTGGCTCAGTAGTACAGTGCTTGTCTCACACACGTGGGGCACTTCAATCCTCAGCACCACATAAATACATAAAATAAAGGTATAAAAAAGTGAATTTTAAACAAGTTTTCCTTTGAAAGCATTTACTCTAGTACAAAACACTAAGTTCAAGGGTCCCTAATTTCTAAAATATATATTATTTTTTATAAATCAAAGCATAGAAGAAGTCACTTAGAGAAATTGATCAAATTCTGCTATGTACGTGTATGACTCTGTGACAACAAAGTCCACCTTTATGTACAATTATGTCAGTAAAAATAAAGGATGTTAAGAAAAAGTCACCCAGAATGGCATCTGGTGGTTATATATACCTCTATGTTTCAAAGGATTTAAGATGTTTTTATTTAAATAATCCTTCACTGAAAAATTCAATTATCACCTTCATTTTCCCCCTTTTAATTCTAAACTGCCCATTCTAGGGTGAGGGCAAAAAAGTTTATAAACTATTATAAAGAACTCTATAAATGAAAGGAACGACTCCTGTCATAGCAAGGCCATCTCAGCTCTCTCTAACCTTTGAAGTGACACTTAAATTTAAGAACACTGAACAGGTTAAAATGGCTGTACTGTTTTCTCTGGAGGAAAAGGAAAGGATTAGCTAAACTGAAGGTTTACTGCCATCATTTAGGCTGTCAAATGACTGTTTCCCTGGCTTCTAAGTGATTGAAGAGCACATAAAAAATAGACTGAATATCACATAAAAATGGACTATATACCTATTTTTAAAATAGCTCTAGAAAAAAATAAAGGTCCTCATTTGACACTTTATTATGGCTTAAAGAAAAAAAAGAAGCATTTTGTAAAAAAAAAAAAAAAAAATCTCAAGGCTCTATTTGATAACTTAGAAAACATGGATAGCCATGTGACATCTTTCCAAAACCAAAATCTTTTCAACAACACTGGCTGTTCCCACTGCAGGCATGTGGGTCCTTACCAATTCTTGCATGTCTTCCTGTAGTGGCAGAAATGCTGCTTCCAGAATAGCAATCTGGTCAGCACTAAGCTTCTGCCACAGCCCGATCAGCAGAATCATCAAATGGGTAGCACTTTTCAGCTTGGTGAATGCCTGGAACAGATTGCCTTGGTTTTCCTCAACAGCATCTGCTAGAGCTATTACCTGTAGAAATTACAAACTTTGGTTAGGGATAATTTCACAATTCTTGAGCCCTCAACAAATTACATTTGGCACAGTTTTGTTTTTCTTTAAAACAACTTGATGAACTTTGTCTTTCACAAGCATAAGCTATGTTGAGTAATAAAAGAGTTATCATTCATCTACTCATTTCCTTCTTTAAAAAAATGTCCAAAGTAATTCCAAATCCATATGGCCAGAAGATGAAAATATCCACAACATCAGCTTAATGCAGACATTGTTCAGTGTCTGCTTCACCATTGATTGACCTTCAATATTTGGTAATACAAGCAACCTCTAAGAAGGTTTATTATAGCCTTTATTACCAGCCATGGATACCAATCAATTAAAATATTCTTTCAAAATAATTGTATTTTCCTTAAAGTTCAAAATAATTTCATTATACCTTTCTTCAGAAAGTAACGATCTTCCCTGATCGTCTTTATATGTTACATAGTGTTAGAATAGCAAATATTTATTGACTATATCTAAAAGGCAGATAATTTCAAACATTAGGCCGGTTGAATAATGTACTTTTTAACCCAAATGTCAGGAACAGCCCACAGGGACATGAAAGAAAAAAAAAATTTAGGGTGTGTTAGCTTTACAATGCCAAATCTACTTAGGATAAAAATTGGCAAGAGTGACTAGAATTTGCTTTTTTTTAAAAATCCTTTTGAATAATTCTGTGGAAAAAAGAACTAAAGCAACAATTGGATGGAACATCCAAGGCTGCCCAATGGTGTTTTATTTTATTTTAATATCGTGGTGAATTCTGTGCTCATTAAAAGTAATGAACTGACTGCCCCAGAGGCTGACAGTCCCCAGAACACAAATAGCAAAGGCCAATGCAATGAGTACCTTTCTATAAGTCCCTGTCAGCTTGAGGGACTAGAGTTCTGATGAGATTCAGAAGTCTGGTGCAGATGAGCCATTTGGTGATATTTCATGGCTTACTGACTCTGGCCCAAAGGGCTTGTTAAAAAGTCATCATTCAAACAAGCAGAGTCTACAGCTGTGTGGTCTCTCAATTCACTGTGGGGAGAGGGGCTATAAAGGGAAAGTCCTCAGAGTGTCTGGGAGACCCTGGAAAAGAGATACAAGATAGGGAGAGAGGGTGCAACTGAAGGCCCTTGCCTAAAAATGCTGGACAGACCAGGATTCTTTGCCACTTAGCGGAGGGCTTACAGGAGTTATAAAAGGTAATCACAGTTCACATTCAGCTCTCCAAGGAGCTATGGAAGTTTGAACCAAGACCAATGCAACAGAAAGTGCATTTCTTATTATGTGCCTAGTATTGTGCTTGCCATTGGCATTCAAAAGAAGTACATGATATCTCAAAGCCCACAAGGATTTTTAATTTTTTGGAAAGAAAACATACATATACAACCAATTAGTGGGAAGAAACATTACTATAATAATGTCCTAATTGTGCAGAACAGAAAGTAAGTGTGAAAGAAGTTAGCAAAGGGATGGATTACTGTGGGCCAGAGTTAATATCCCTGGGGCCTCTTTTACTCAAATGGGCCTTGGAACTCATCCCTTCCTATTACTTCAAGAAGTCCCCTTGAAGAGACGGAGAGAAGCCACTTTCCTTAAACCAAAACACCTGGATTTATATACTTCCCCACCCTCACCATGATTACAACTGACTCCTGTTAAAAATCTAAGTTTATACCTTTTTCTCCCTGTAAATGTTAACAATTAAGCCTCATTGTGGACCCATGATATTGACATAGATGCTGATTGTCAAAACATCCAAATCATTCAAAGATCAAGGTCATAAACACCTACTGACTATCAGGTATATGCAAGAATTTGAGGGAAGCCCTGTAGGGAATTCAATGGTGACAGACCTAATCTGTACCTTCAGAGAGTCCATAATAAAGAAAGGAAAAGAGGTCAAGGAAGCAAAAATTGACCATATAAGGAAGACACGATAGACTCTAAAGGAGGGTTCCATTAATGTTATGATTATTATTTTAATGATAATCCCTCTAATTAACTGAGCATAGACTGGTGCCTCAAATTTTACTCTGTGCTATCCAGGTATCAGTGGCTTCAATCCTCATGCTGTCAATGCAACTTAGTTGATACCATGTCTCTTTCACAAATGAGAACTTTGAGATTCAACTAATGTCTGGCATTTGCCTGGTACTGTACACAGGGTATGCAATCTGTGTGCATACTCAGAAGAGGCCCACACTTAGTTTAAGGCTCTACTGTGTGTCTGTCCTGAGATTCTTAAGAATTTTACTTTTGAACCTGTGTTTTATAATTGAAGTCAATGGAACAATGAAGCCCGCACATGAGCAGAAGATAAGTGCATTCCCACGGGAGTAAAATGCTTTTACATTTGCCTTTAAAACTGGCATTAACATATAAAGATTAATGGTAAAGGCCATGCTTATAGTTTAAATTTTTACATTTTTCCTTACATGGAAATATGTTAAATATAAAATTAAAACAAAACAAAACACCACTGGAAGCTGTGAAAGCAAGACCACTAAAGAAAAAAAAGTCTTCTTATTTTAATAGCTGTTTTAATATCTGCCTTTTTAACAAGAACCCTCATTTTCATTTTGCATTGGGATCTGCAAATTAAGTAGTCAGTCTGATAGTACACCTAGTAGATGAAAGAACAGAATTCAAACTTCACAGTTGTCTCGCTCCATAGCCTGCTTGAGATTACTGCTAGCTGAGTATTGAAGATTTAGGAAGGAGAAGGTGAAGGGGGAACCAGTGGCATGCTGAAGCTGGCTCAATCAGCCCTTCCCAGGTCCTGAGAAAAAACCAATTGTTTAATTGGCAGGGATTTTGCAAACCAGTTGTTTAACATAGCCATTGCTAAAAATTAGATTACATAAACTTAAAACTAAATAAATTACATTAAAAACTAAGGTAATAAATAATCAAAACTCATTTCTTACTACTTGATGTAGGCTCCAAGGTTATTTCTGCCTATTATATCTGTACATTGGAAACACTTTGCAATGGTGGGCTACTGCCCATTTCTTTCCAACTCTGCATTCAGAGACCTTACATTGGCAGCTGAAATCAGCCACCCTGTAGGTATTTACAACATGGAAACCAACAAATGTTAAGGAGTCAGGCTTCTTATACTCCCTCTCCTTGCCACAGAGCCTGTTGTTAAATATTTACCAGCACACCACTGAAAAGAGTTACCTGAAATGCATCCTAAAGCACACACATTAGGTAAAAGAGCTTTAAAAAAGAAGGAAACAACTTGAACAAAGCAGAAAAGTGGAGGCTGGTTGCTTGGGGAAGAGTAATCTTTTATGCTGGGAAGGATATTTCACAAAACTAAAAATGTAAGCTGGGTAAGTACCGCAGAGGAACCAGAATGTCAGAGAAAAGAGCAGGCACTGGGGCGGCCACTGAGTACTTTGAGTGTGGGTGCTGCCTGATGGAGTAGCTATCAAATCGTAAGAAATATTTGGGGCATTTTGGGGACTTAGGTGAAGCTTTCATGCACGTTCCCGGCTATCGAGAGGAAATTCTCACTAAGTATAACTGCATGTCAGATCATGGACCCACCCAACTTACTAAACACAGCTGCGGTGGAAGAATGACTTCTCAGTGAGACAGCAGCCCAGGCCACAGGATCTTTCCTGAGCAAGGCCCAAAATACATCAATCCGGGAGAAGCATCGTCTCTCTCTAAGTTTCCGTCTCATTGGATATATTTCTGTGCCGTTGTGGAAACAGTCCACTATCCCCAAATGGTCACAGAAATTGGAAAGAAATGGGATAAACAATTCCTTATGTAAATTACCCCCAAGGAAAATCTTTCTGACCTACTGGCCAGCATGAAATACTAAACAGATCTCCATGTTCTCAATTTAGTTTTACACGTAACAGCCAAGTTTACTTTGTCTTCTTGAAAGCCAAATGAATTTAGCAGAATTAACATAGTAAAAAGAGCTGGAAAAACTAGAACCATCAAGATTCAGATCTGTGTGACCAAGGCCTAGAAGATCTCCAGCTCACCTGGAACTGAGAAATGAGGCCAACCAGCTGCTAGGACTTAAATTTGGGGAAGAGTGATTTTTCAAGGCTCATGGCTGGCTAAGCAAGCTGTGTGTTCCCTGGTGTTCAACAGAACTACAGAAAGAAAAGGCTGTAGGAAACAATAAATGCTAACAATTTCAAGCACAATGTGTTGATGGCCTTTGTTTTGCTTTTTCAAATTGAAAGTTTCCAAATAAAATGGAGACCCCAAAGGACATCTCTGTCCAACTGCCATATCAGTTGATGCCAAAGTAATGAGGCAGAGGCCCAGGGAGCTGCTTGCAGGAAAACGCTCAACTCATAAAGTGAGTGTGAAATTAATCCCAAATACTTCCAGCTGCCAAGATAGGCTCTAAAATTGGTTACAGGAAAGCAGCAGCAGCAGCAGCAGCAGCAACAGTGGAGTAGACATGAATCATACTATGTGAACACGACATGTCCAATTTCTTCACCTAAACTTATTGTCCAATCTGCCTCCAAATCTCATGTGTGTGGCATGCAGAATCCCACTACTTGCTGTGTAGGTATCATTTAATGAAGGCTGACTGTGAGCCAGGCAATGCACTCCGTGAGATCATCATTAGGTCAGATAGCAATTGTTGATCCCCTCTGTCCTCACTTCCAGATGAAGAAAAGGAGCTTAGAGACATCTGAGCACATTGGTCATGGTGATGAACAGGGGCAGAAAAGTGTCAGGATTCCAATCTTGTCTTCTGATTTCCGATTGAGTGGTCCTGCCCCTTCTATACAGATACACAAATGTATACAGGTGGCCCCACAAAATAATGCTATGGATTTTTATATTGATAATCAATCAAAAACACTAAGGAAAAACACTACTCATATATTACATTCATCACAGACATAATTTTTCTACCATAGGGCTTTTAACACGGGGTCAATTTGAGCTGGTTGGTTTCTGCCCAAAGTTGCAAAGTCACTATAAAGGAAATG